AAAGGAAAGCCATTAATCCAATTATACCAAGTTTGATGTAAATGACTTATGGAGTTTTGTACATGGAGCTTTATATCCTATGCTATTAAGGTGAGTTAGCAGCTGAGGGGAAGAAAAGCTGCCCTGCTAAAGCCTCATAATAGCTGGCAACATGGCACCAACCCTGCATAGCATGCCCAAGGCAAAAAAAATGGCACAAGTGAACAGAGAGATCTCGGAGAGAGGGCATGGAACTTCCAAATGCTTTACAAGTCACTTCTTCATACCTCTTCAAGCTAAAAAATCACTAAGGAACACTTCTAACTCTATCAAAGACAAATATATCCACATTTCCTGTCACAGTTTAGGAACAGTAATTAAAGCCAAGGGAATTTAGGAATATGAGAAATGCAATACTAAAGTCTTCCCTTCAGCTTCTCATTCTTGTTGTTTCTTACCACGTGGAGGGGTGACACTCTTGGCACTCCCCACTAAATACAAGACTAAGAAGGCAAAAAGCTTATAGCAGAGATTGATGGATGTAGTGGAGTTGTGCTAACCAGCTATTAAAGTAAGGTGATGATGGTCACAATGGAGAGAAGTGCAAATTACATACAGGACTTCTGCTCTGATGAGTTTGAGAAGGAAGCCACCATGTTTCTTGAGAATGATGTGTGGCTACTACTGGAGACAAAGGAATGAAGATGAGGGGACCAGTGAGTACTCCTAACAGCTCAAGCTGTTTCCTCTTGCTCAGAATCCCTTCCTCCTCAGTGAAATCTCCATCCTTCAAAACTCGGCTCAAGTCTTGCCTGTACTCTCATCACTGCAACCCACCTGCCATTCTGTGAATCAACGTACTGCTGTCTCTGCTACTTGGCTTAGCATCTGTTTACTACTGTTTCATATGTTTTTGTCTCTTGCCGTCATTGGATTATGAGCTTCCTGGAGGTAGGGACCATGTTTTTTGGTTTTAATTTTTCATTATAAAAATGTTCAAGCATTCACAGAGGTATAGGGAATAGTATAACAAACCCTCATATACTTATCACCCACATTCAACAATTATCAAGATTTTGCCTCATTTTCCTTATATATATCCTTTTTTGTTAAATATTCTATAATCTATATTTTAGCATGCATTTCTAAAAGAAAATACATACATTTTCTTAAGTAACTACAATACCTAAACAAAATGGTATCATCTAACATCTAATTCATATTCAAATTTATGTGATTCCCTCAAAAATGACTTTTGACATTTGTTTTGTTATTAATCAATATCCAAACAAGACCTTAGTTCTCTTAGTTCTCTTTCATTATAAAGCAGGGCTCCTCCTCTCATTTGGACAATGATTTAATGAAGAAAACTAGTTATTTTTCCTATCGAGTGTACCATATCGTAGATTTGTCTGTCTGCTTCCTCATAGTCTTAGGAGCCATGTTTTTCATTCATTTATTCAACAACTATATATTAGGAGCAGAACATGAGCTAGAATGTTAGAAAATGCAGCGACTACAACAGTGAATACAACCCTAGTCCTGGCTCAAACAGAAGAAAGCCATGAACAAATAATTACATACAATATCAATTATTAGCAATTGTGATATGTGCTAAGAAGGGAAAGTGCAAGGCAGTAAGAGACATTATAGCAAGGAAACCTAACCTACTTTAGGGGTCACGAAGAGCATTTATTTTGTATAGTTCAAAGCACCTAGTACAGTGTTAAGTAAATAAACATTCAGCATTTCTGGGTTGGCTGGCAAACTAAGTTTTTTTCTGATATCAGCCTTGTAAATCAAAGGACTATCACCACCTCTTGAGTTCTGAATATCAAATCTGATTCTCTCAGGAGTCAATGTTAGAGAAAACTGAAAGGGCAAACAGATGGTTTCCTCTGGGTCTAAATTATTTTAGAAGAAAAAGAATTATTCAGGAAGTGGCTACATAAAGTCAAGAAAAGGATCACAGTTTCTGAACTGCCAGTTTAGATATTAGAACAATGAATTTTTTTTTCTTTCTGCTGAGGAAGATTCGCCCTGAGCTAACAGCTGCTGCCAATCTTCCTCTTTTTGTATGTGAGCTGCTGCCACAGCATGGCCACTGACAGATGAGTGGTGTAGGTCAATGCCTGTGAAGTGAACCCAGACCACTGAAGTGGAGCACACCAAACTTAACCACTAGGCCACCAGGGTTGGCCCAGAACAATGAATTTTTGACAAGGAACAGAATGGACATTATTGAAACCTAGAAGAACATGCTTAGTAGGATATCTGCCATACTGCTCAAAAGGGCTTTTAAGTTAAAGCTGAGGAAGGAAAAATATCTAGGTACACTTTCAGATTGGATATAATGGAGGGTAAAAGACAGAAGAGAAAAACAGTAGGAGAGAAGATAAATGATAAACCAGATCTTCATTTTAAAAGATTATAGCACTGCTCTTAAAATATTATGAAATGTGTTACTTTTATACAATACTACCTACCTGAGACCAATGTAAATGTTTAAGTCCCCCTTTTTCACACCAGATGTTAGTCTTGTTTTGGGGCAACAGAATGATATTTGTTTGAGTGTCTTGAAAAGAAAGACCTTTTGCTATGGACTAAACTGTGTTCCCCACCCCCCACTCTCCCCCCATCAAATTCATATGTTGAAGCCCTAAACCCTAATGTGACTATATTTAGACTATACAGGGTCTTTAGGAGGTAATGAAGGTTAAATGAGATCATAAGGATGAGGCCCTAATCTGATAGGACTGGTGTCCCCATAAGAGGAAGAGAAACTAGAGCTCACTCTCTCTGACATGTGAAGACATAGTGAGAAGGCAGCTGTCTGCAAGCCAAGAAGAGAGCTCTCACCAGAAACTAAAACTGCTGAGCCTCCAGAACTGTGAGAAAATAATTATCTAACCTTTAAGCCACCCTGACTATATTACTTTGTTTTGGCAGACCAAGCTGACAAATACATCATCCTAATTTTTTTCCCATTAGTGTCTAAATTTTAAAGCTCTCTCTTCTGCATGATTTGTAGAATATGTTGCACAACGTGAAGGATACATCAGAAACTAAGGCCATGTGTATAAAAAGCATACTTTGACACCTAACCAAGTAGACAAGAGAAAAATAATTGGTCAATGCACTTCCTAATCAAGAGAATGAAATGAAATGGGTAGGTTTTATTTGCTTGCATTTACTTTTAAACTCTTAAAGTTTCATATTCTTTCCAATACAAATAGGAACTCTTCTCAGGTGAACCAGACCTCAGTATTTTCAGCTGTGGTCAGCTTCTCTCTGAATCCCACTTGGGTTTGGTGATGCAAAGCAAACAAAGCTATAAATCAAATGCAAGCATTTAATACCTCAATGCATTGCAAATTGATCTGGAATGGGGGTCAGTTCAAATCGTTTTTAAGTGAAACTATTCCCTTCCCCTAAAGAGAAGGAATGGAAGTTAAAGATAGCAAATCCTAAAGTTATAAGGGATTCAGAAGCATGGCTGCTTGCTAGAATAGAGAGGCCAGGTTTCTTCAGGTGAGATTCCTCAGTTATTTATCAGGTTGGAGTCATGGATATTTAAACATATACATCCTGGTGGCTTGCATTAAATCTGAAATGTGATGGGCAAATTTTCAAGAAATAAAAGCTACAAACAAAATAGCTTTAGTTCATTCAGCATGCTGTGGGAAATGGCTAATGGACAAGCATTACTATGACTGGCAAGGCGAGCTGCCAATAAACGAGAGGAGCAAAGATTCAAACCACCACATAACAGCAACACTTCCTAAGCTTATTTTACTAATTTTTCAAAGTAGGACATTATCTGAAGTGAAAGAAAAATGAGGTGGGAGGACACAAGGGAAGGAACTATTTAAAACTAAAAGCTATGCTTCTTTCTCTGTGGGTTAGCTATCCCTGCTTTGAGTAATTATGGTTTACTTCTACCATTTCCTGATACCACACTTGGTTCTACTGAAGGCAACATTTTCTTTTTTCCAAACAACAAACAGAGAGAGCGATTCTGGCAGGATAAATTTCCATTGTTTGCTTACGCCTGCCTTGTCCTTTCCGACTAGGAAGAAATGACATCTAGCGGTTGGATGAGAAGAAAGTGTGGAGTTCTGATATGCTACCCCTCAGAGAGGGATGGGGGCCAAATTCTCTTCTCACTTATTTTTTTTCCTAGAAGAAGAAAAAGAGCAAGCGCTGTCTCCCATCTTTTCTCCAACTTGAACTCTTAACTCTCAACTGTTTCTTATAATTTTAAACAAACTAACGGTGAGCAAGTCAATACTTGTAATCTTTTACCTTCTGGAATGGAATGAAAACTATTCCATCATAAAGGAAGATTAAATTCATTTAATTGTATAGTTCAAATCAGTCCAAAGTTCAACAAATAATGCCTATTCTACATAGGCTTTTTAGTATAATGGGTAGTATAATAGTGTAAAGGTTTTCAGTGTAATGTAATGAGCACAGACTCTGGGCTGGACTATCTGAGGTTACATTATATTTCCACCACTTACTAGCTGTGCAGATTTAGATAAATTAATTTAATCTCTCTATGCTCTGTTTCCTCATCTGTAAATGGAGAATAATAGTTCTATATCCCAAATTGTGTACCTGGCAAAGAGAATACACTGTATAAATATTAACTATTATTAAGATTATTTCAGAAAACATCTAAAAGGCATTACGTTAATCTCCCTACTCTTGGTTAGTACTACTAAACAGTATACACAAAACCAAGTGAAGACTGACCTGTCTTAGGTCACATAAAACAATCCTCTTGCTAATCAGATAAAGAAAAAGGATAAAAATAAAATCCTTTCCCCAAAATTAGCCTTAACTGAGACTAAGATTAAACCAATAACAGAAGTACATACTTTACTTTTAGAGGCAAGATATTCTACTTAAACCTACATGCTTCACTCAGAGTCAAATGAAAAACACATACTATAATACCAGCTTATTCTAAAACATTGATATAATCTGAAACATTGCTCTATGAGCAAAATACATACTTCTGGGGTGATCTGTTATCAACTTCAGCCTTCAGTCGTAAATTCTCCCTCACCAGGCCACCATTTTCCAATTTCAAATTTTTATTTGCCTTAAAAAAAGAATTGAAAATAATTAAGCACAAGCTAAAACAAAAGTGTCTTGTAAAAATTATGATATGGGCCATCTGTAATTTTTAGAGCGATAATATCAGAAAACCGAATACCAGAACATAGCCTTCAGAAACTTAAAATCACCACTAGGGATGACTTGTGAAACTGAACACAACCAAGAATTTTTAATCCATATTCCCCAAGCACTTTGCAAATCTCCTATCCAGGGAAATAAACAAAGCTATGTTAGTTAGCTTACAGTCATTAAGGGACTATACTAATGGCAAATATGGTTTTTTTTCCTTTTTCACATAACTGAATTCTCTAAGCACGGTAACATTATACCATGTGCAATTATTTGCAAAACTTATGCTAAGAGTCAATTCTTGAGCTATGAGACTGATTTTCAGCTGCTTTTTAAAAATAGTGTTTTAGTGATAACAAATCTAATATGATTAAACCACTTTCTTTTTTTCAAATTTAATTTTTTTTATTGAGGAAACACTGGTTTATAGCATTATATAAATTTCATGTGTAATCATTATATTTTGATTTCTGTATAGACTACATTATGTTTACCACCAAAAGTCTAGTTTCCGTCTGTCACTGTACAAACGGCCCCCTTTACCTTTCACCCTCCTTCTACCCCCATTAAACCACTTGCTTTCCTTCTTCAAAATGGTTTTCCTAAATGCCCTCGCTCGTTACTTCTGGGACTCTCAAAATTGGGTTAATCTTTTCTAACATATTCTATGGATCCTCTTTTGATGAGAAAAAATTCCAAGTATGACTTTCTTTTTTGAATTGTACGATACCTAAAAATTGCCTAACAAAACGTTAATTGCTGAAAAATCTGGAGTCTAAATATTGATTCTGGACAGCCTGAAAAGCAGTGTGCCCACATTTGAGTCTTCTTAACAGCTACTTTCTTTAAATTCCCTGGTCACTGCATCTTTGAATTCCAAAGAAAAATGACTCTCTAGATGAGAAACCAATTTCACTAACCTGTCAAGAGAAATTCTCTTTGACTAGAATAGTAACATTCAAAGTGAATGGGTACAAGAACTATTGTCAACAAAAAGGTTTAAACCAAGAAGACTTAAAAATAGATTTCAAAAATTTGACGAATGTTTTTGACTAATTTCTAGACTAGCAACTATACTACTTGCCCACCCATACACAAACACCCCAAGAGGATGACAAGAGAAGCAGGGCAGAGCACACTCTTTTGGGCACAAAAAGCCTAACTTTCTCACTTAGACTCATCCAGGTTCCTTTTGGGCTCTGAGCACCTGCTTATCTTCATGGTTGCAAACTAACCAGGATTGTGGAGGGTTAATTCTTTAAATGACTGATAAACACCATTACTGCCCTTCTGAAGATCTAAGGAAAGACATTTACTTCCTCATATACACAGACAATGAATTAAGCTCTCAAGCCTAGCACCCTAAGAGGAGGCACTTAGTGAATGCTTTTTGATGATGATGACAAGCTTAAATTAGAAACTCATTTGATTTCTTTTCCCCATCCCCTCCATACTATATCGTATATTTCAAGGTCCCTCACCAGTCCTGTGGCTCTTGAATATTCTCATTATGGGCTGGCTAGTTCCTCAACTAGCAGAGATATTTTCAAGTTCAGGAGGGTTGGTAGGTAAAAGTTACAAAGGGCAGAGTTCTGCCTATTTGTTGTACCTAAAAGAATAATGAAGACTTCAGCTTTTTTGCATTCTCAACACTGGTTGGGTGATACTAGCCTCATGACAGTTCAACTCACCTAGTTCTGGCAACATCAGAAAAAAAGTCTATTTCACTCATTCTAACTAGTCCTTTTTTCTGAATCTTCTGTACTCCTGTATTTGATTTATAGTATGTTATTAATTTGTACTCATATTCAAGTTTTGCCTCTGCAGTCCATGTTTTTTAATTCATTTATGTCCCGGTTTATTGCCTAGTACTACATAATACCATCAGCAGGCACCCAAAATGGGCTATTTAAATAACGCTAATAATTCTGAGGTCTCAGAGTGGCTTTGGGTATTGAATTTAACATGTGACCTTTAAAATAGCAAAGAAAAACTGTTTTGCATGTACTTTTCTTTTACATACATCCCTGATACCACTCTTATGAGCCCAGAGTAAAGTTTTCATACAGTGCCTCATACTCTAAGAAACATTTATTGCCAAAAATTTAAATGAAGTTTAATAACTACAAAAGAGACCGTATAGAACTTACTGATGGCTCAAAAAGAGAAAGAGAAGTTAAAAGGGACAGGTAGATTGATATATACTGTAACTTCTCAGCTGTCTTTCCTTTTACCGCCCTCTTCAGTTCTTAGACAAACCAACACGCTAACATTGGCCATTAATACGCAAAAAAACTACACACTTCCCCTAAACTTGTAACAAACTCAGTGCAATCATGTCTGTAGTTTCTTTTTCCTCTGAAAGCACTAAGTTCCCTTCTTTGTCTCATCTCGGCCTTTTCTGAGCCCAAAAAGCATTTATTTTATATGTGGGTATGTGAAGATGGCTTAGTATTTACACTAAGTTGCAGATATTTTTCTGCTACTTAACCTCCCTGAGGATCTGAGGACCGTATGTGGTGGTACTTCTATAAAATATCATAGTAACTCATTAATGATTTCAGGAGGCAAGATTTAGTAATTTAGCACAGGAACAGTATTTTAATTACGTATTTAACAGCATTTAACCATGTAGATAGGTTGAATGGGTGGTTCAGGACTTGGATACCACAAAACCATCTCCATTCAGCATAACAAGACTCCACTATGGATAAACCTGAAGTCAAGCTAAAGGCTGGTCCCTTTGGCCAAGAAAGCTCTACAGCACTTGATGATAGCCTCTAGTGCTGATGGTATGGATCTCATCTCTTTTCCTAGACTGGAAAATCCTAGAGGTTTGCCTTTTTCACCTATGCTTTCTCTATCTTATTGGATGGATAGAAGAATAATTGAAAAAAATGAACCCACTTCATAAGCCACAACAGTCTTTTGCAGAGAGTAGTCTAAAGCAGCTACCACAGCTCTCTTGGAACTAGTCATTAAGCCTTTAACTATTTACAACTTAAAAATCAGAGAATGGTAGTACCAGAAAAGATATGGTCCAAACCTTGCATTTTATAGGTAGGGAAATGGATATGTGTTTGTTTTTATGCATACAAGGCAATCACTGACAAAGCTTAAAAAAAAATTAAGGCAAACCACAAGGAGGGGAAATAGAAACACATCCTTTAAACTGATGTCACTTCTACAAGAAGATGCAAACTCATATAGAAGCACTATAGAGTCTCCAATTATAGTTACAAATGGAACCATCTGATATGTCTTGGCAGCTAATGACATTTAAGGAGAAAAAGTTTTCGTATTGCTTATAAACGCTCATCCAGGGATTTCTGTCCTTCCTGCACAAATCATCTAATGATGAGTCAAGATAATATGGCTATTTATACCTTTGAAGGTACTTAAAATATTATAGAATTTTAAAAACAACACAATAGAATTTTAAAAACAACTATAATAGAATTTTCAAAACAACCATGACATACCTCCTTTAACTTATCCACATCATCTTTCACTTTTTCATAGATTTCATTAGCTGTTCTAAGTTTTTTTTTCCACTCTGCTACAGTTTCTGGGTCAATTTTACTTGGATTATCTGCAACTGGATGTTTGTCTTCATTTTGGTTGCCCTGCATCAAGGTTAAAGGATCCAGAATAGTCTTGATCTGTGACTCCAAGCTGAGATTTTTACTCTTAAGTTCTTCTACCTCTTTTTGCAGACAATCTATTTCATCCTGAAAAGCATTGCATAGCCATTAGGTAGACACAGACACTAAACACATTCATATGCTAACTGAGGCTAATGTGTTTTTAAATTTTATACTCAAAGTTTGGTAGATGAATAGATTCTTTACCCATCAGAATAGTTTTGTAGTCAGAAAGTCACCTACAGTTCAAATTCTGAAAACATATTTTGACTTTGATAAAAATTGGCATTTTCATTGCTTTCATTTTAAGTCAATGACAGTTTGTGGTTTTAAAAAAATTAAAATGTCAAATCTCTGATTCTACTTAAGATAGCCAGAAAACAAAAAAAGTCACATGAATTCAACAAGGAAGTAGATTTCCTCAAAAGAAAATTCTTAGGCATGTTTAATTGCTTTACTGAGGGGAATTAAAAAATACAGTGTTCATCAAGGTGATCTCTTACAGTTTCATTTGATGTTTATATTTTTGCTTCTGTACTTGAAGAGTGAAACCATATACCACTTCCACTTTCCATTTCAGAATAATACCTGTAGTTCATTTTTAACCTTTCTACATTCTGGTTCTTTAATTACCACCATGACTATTCCGAGTATTAGTTTTCCCCATCTGGAACTGCTTATTATCTTAAATCCAATTACTAAACATTTGGGCTACAACTCTTTTCTGTGATACCATTTATTCATCTATAACGAATATTTCATCTTAAACTAGAAATTCTGTTGTTAGAAAATAAATTCCAAGTAGCTCAATGTGCCAGTCATCTCATAAAGGATTAATCTGATTAGTACCTAAGTATGATAAATATTCACTAAATATGTAAGAGTACATTTTAGAGTTAACATATAGTATTATATACTATTTTGAACTGTAATACATTCCAAGTTAAATAGCATTATAAAATGAGAAAATCACTTTGTTTGAATATATTAGTGAATAAACAAATATAAACAGAAAAAACACATATATGAATGATTCAGTCATTTATTTATGCCCTATTTTATTTCAAAAAATTTTTGAGGCAGCTCCTGTAGTAGTTTCCATGTATATAGTTTAACAAAGATATTTTGTATCAAAAGAAGAGATCAGTAATATCCCGCCTTTAGCCAACATAAAACGACAATAGGGCTTAAGGTTTACTATTCAAAAGTGTAAGTATTCCATTAGCATAAAGCTAATTTGGAAAAATCCCATCACCCTGTTAAGTCACCTTCTCAGAACGAAAACTACGGCATGATCTCACTTAAATTGGAATGTAAAAAAGTTGACCACATAGAAGCAGAAAGTTAAACAATGGTTACCAAGGGTGGGGAGGTGGAGGAAATGGGGAGGTGCAAGAAAAGGGGAGATGGATCAAGGGGCACGATGTTGCAGTCATGAAGGATAGATATGTCTAGGGATTTAATGTATAGTGTGATGACTATAGTTAATAAGACTGTACTGTATATTGGAAACTCGCTGAGAGTATATTTCAGGCGTACTTATGTGAGGAGATAGATATGTCAATTATCTTGACTAAAGTAATCATTTCACTATGTGCATGTATATCAAAACATCAAGCTGTACATCTTAAATACACACAATTTTTGTTTTAAAAAACTCACTGCTTTAGATGCAAAAAAAAAGAATTAGGAAATAGCATATTTCATACCAAAATCTCTTTACTGATAGTTGACATAGGTATATTTACTTTACCACACTGACTAGGCTTGTAATTATCAGTGAATTTATCGGCAGAAACAAAAACAGAATGAAAGTTATAGCCACTGTTACCAGAACATTCATAACGCCCTGTGGGAGTTGGAAGACTGACTTTCACAAGAGAGTTTCCTTTATTTCCCAACTTCTTGAGGGAACAAACACTTACAAAATGACATGACTGTTGAGAACAAATTTTAAATTAAAAGAAGGAAAAAAAGGAAATGGCTCCATCTGTTCCTTTCCCCTATTTAAAACAGGAAAGGGAAAAAGAAAAATTTACCAATAAGATATTCTCAAAATTGGCATTTAAAATAAGATTTCATTAGATGCTTACGCTAAAAAGTTCAGGGACTGAGATAGCTCAGTTTTACCTTGAATTCAATGCTGTCGTCATTTTAAATTTTAATTATCATTTACCTCATATTCTTTGTGGAGTAACTCAAGTCTAGTTTTCCGGAGGTGCTTCCTGACTGTATGGCTTAGCATAGGTTCACTTTCACTTGTTCCTCCTACAGGGAAAAAAAAAATCTAATTTTTCATCCTGATTTGGGCAGAATTAAATCGAAAATGAACCCTTTTCTTATTGTCTTCTATAGTTCTCCAGCTTAACATCTACCCTTTCCGTTATGTACACACTTGGGGCTGCCATCCAGGCTTCTTCTCTAACTCAATCCTTAGAAAAGATAAATATCAAACAACAGCATAAAAAATACCTGCAGTAAAAATATCAAACACTTACTTATGGATCTTATTATAATAAACTTAATAAGGCAAAGGCTATATTTTATTAATTATCACATCTGAACTACTGCAAATTCTGAATCCTAGACTATTGTCAAATAGCAATAAAATAGCACTGATTATATTTATATTAAACCAATGTTACATAAACATATTATCAATATTTCATATATGATATAATTATCAAATATATATCTATATATATGAACTATATATGATATATATTATAACCAATGACTTCATTCAAACATACTTTGTTATTGGTAACACAACTGAAAAGATTAATGTGTCTTTTCACTGATTTTCATTGTAACAATCCAGTTAACAATGGATTATGAATCACAGCATTAACTGTATGCCCATAAGGACTCATTACAAATACACTGAAAATGAATTCTTCCTGAGAACTCTTCACTTACGCTGTCGATACCTTTGTACTTCTTAGCATCATGATAGCAAAGGCATTTTACAGATGTTCTTTTTCAGGGTGTTCTATCCAAATACAAGGACGGATGAACTATTTTACTTGACATAATTTATGAAATATCACTTAGATATGAATGAATGAAGGCAGGAGAAGGAATGAGAAGAGAAGCTGAGGGAAAACTTTCATATTATTTTAATCATCAGAGCTCATCTTCTGCAAGAAAAGACTTGAGTCCTTGGTGAAGTTCAGTACAGGTAAGAAACTAGAGGCAGAGAGGTTAACACTACACTATGCAGCATGGCAGAGAAATATTCCTCTATTGGACTTCACCCAGGTCACCCAAGAAAGAAACCTTGGAGGCATCTCTGACTTGCCCTTTGGATTTCTTAGTTCCAAAGTCCCACTAGTTCTTTTGTTCTGGCATATATCTTACTTTCCAATTCCACTGTAAAAATCTTAAGTCCATTTTTCCTAATTTGGGACTATTACAATGTCTTCTTAAGTTTTCTGAGAAGTGTTTTCTATACATAGCTAATGACTAATTCACTTTCAATTTTTTCTAAAGCAATAACAAATAAAAGTCATTTTAATTTTTGCAATCTAAGAGAAATAATTTATATGAGCAGAATAAAAACCAAACACTAAAAATGTTCTTTAAATGCTTTATTTTTCAAGGATCTTCTAGTTAAAGTCTTAAGCCCCCTCTTACCTACACTAGCGTGGCACTGAATGTTCTTTTTTACCCTTAACCCAGACCCACATTCTCCCTCACCTGGGCAAGAACCTCACCTGACCTACTCACACCATGTCTCTCCTCTACAGCCCAACCTACATACCATCACCCTAGTAAGACTCCTCAAGCACATTTTGGATTATGCCACTCCCTTGCTCACAACCATCATGCCCACTTCTCCCTTCTTCTCACCCATTGAGCAAGTCCCTGATTTAGTTTGTCACTCAAGATATCTGCACTAACATCTCAATCTACCTTTTCAATCTTATTTCAGTAGTCAGACCCAAACTAGACTACTGATCATTTCCAAAAACATACTTTGTGTTTTCCTACTCTAAACCTTAGTTCATACTACTACCTTTGCGTGAAATGCCCTCCCTAATCTTTACCAGTTGAAATGTTATCCATCCTTAAATCTCCATCTTAAAGGCCATCTGTTTCATGAATCCCTTCTCAATGTTCCCAGCTGAACTTCCTTGCCTGAACTCTGTGAGCCGTTTTTTGGCCTTTAGCATCTGTTGCTTTAAACCATTAATATTTTGGTCCACACGCACAGCCTCTACCAGAATGTAATTCTATGAGGTTCCAAGACTTCTCATAGTGCCTTGTGCCCCTCAGTCGCTCCAATTACAGGTTATATAAATGACGAATCTATACAGTATGATATTGGCAAAATAACATCAATGAAAACTGTCTATTTCAGTCTTCCTCCAAATATACATTATTTAGAGATTGTTTCAAATCTATTTCTCTGTGTTTATAAAATAGGCCCTTACCAATAATCTCTTTGCAAGGATTTTCAGGAGTGATAGGGACTCTGCAAGCTGGACACTGGCTATTATTCTTCAACCACAAATCGATACAAATTGAACAAAATACATGGTTGTTGATGCATATGACAGGTTGGCGTACCTTTGAAAAAAGAAACATTACTTTTAGTACAGGGCAACAATCATAAGTAGAAACCCAAGAAGTTAGTTTAGAGCAAACAAATTGCTTCTCTAGAGTACAGCAGTCGGTGCTCTAAGAAGAGACATCTAAGACTTATTAAAATGCTGCTACTGCTACCACATCGTTTTTATATACGTATAACAGAGACATGTGAGATATTTGGTCACAGAGACTGAAACTTTTGACATACTCTGTAATGGATTAATTTTGTTCCAAGCCACATTCATGGCCAAAAAGAAAATGCATTTTGATCTACTAAGACTGAAACAATTGTTCTTCAGCTATTCTATTTCAGAATTATAAAATGTCAGGATTAGAAGGTTCTTTAAAGAACATTTAGTCCAGTCATCCCTCTGACGCTTGAATCTTTCCCTCAATTCATTCCACTATATTATAGAGCAACAATCAACCATTAAGCATTGACATCTTACTAGACAGTCCCTCAAACCAAAGAGGCATGAAACCTAAAACAACCATAAAAGACAGGAGTCCCACTCCCAAGTGGTTTCTAATCTAAACAGCAAAGAATGCTGACAGAAATACTGACATATACCAAATACACAAAACTTCAACTCCATTTAAACAAGTACAAATAGTAATACTTTACAATTATATAGCCTATATTTTACAAAGGGCTTTCACGTGCATTTTCTCTCTGTTTTTTGTTTTTTTTTTAAATAATGCTGTGAGGCAAGCAGAATAAATATACTTTACAAATGAGGAAACCAAAGTGTGAAAAAATTAGGTGGCTTGCTCAGGGTTAACTAGGTGTTTTGATTTCGTGTAGATGTTTTATCAGAGGGAAAACAGAAGAGAGAAAATGCTTTAGATTTCTACTTGATATTACATGTTTGTTTACACTATTTATTGTCTATCTCCCCTATTAGAATGGAAGCCCCATGAGAGCAAGAACTTCCTGCACCTCACCTATTCCAAAATCCCTGGTGTCTAGAAAACAGCCTAGTATACAGGAGGTACTCAATGAAGGTTTGCTGAATGAAGGAACTGCTGTTAAGACAGCATTTTACATTCAATAAGTTGGGTAATTTGCCAGAGGGAATAATAACTTAATATTCTTCAGATAGCACAAATTTAACAATAAAAAACAAACGCCTAGGCTTTCACTTGATTCACATGGTACTTTTACTGTGGGACTCAAAACACTTTATAGCCATTTTCAATAATTTCCTGTTCTAATAATAACAATACCATTGTAGAGTCTTTCTGCACTAGGGACCAGAAGATGAAGGGAAAACAGAGGAATTAGAGGGAGAATGAAGAGACAGAACCACCACAAACCACTTTCTCCAGAGAAAATGCTTGTGCTACTCTATACCTGTCTCAGAAGGATACCATGAATTTCATTAATTTGAAAGGGGTCCCTACCCTCAAAGAAATCACAGATATAAGGCAATTCATGACAGGCAGGTAATCATTTTACATCTCACTGCAAAGAATTCTCTGCTCTCAGTCTGGCTTCCCAAACATTTAGGTGCTCCCTTGATTACAAACACTAACATAAGAAAACTAATCAGAGAAGATAATTCAGTATGGATTTACACTTCCTCTTGGAGAAATCAATTTTAATTCATTCAATTCAACTGATTTTACAGGACTGATCAAAATAAATAAATAAGTAAGACCGTGAAGCACAGCTTCTCAAACTTTTCTTCTAAAGTTTTCCTTAACAGCAAGGAGTGAATGCTTATCTGGGAGGTATTCCTGATCAGAGGCTCAAAAGGTAGACAAGCACGAACTTCATGTGCAGGCGCTATTTTTTCCTAAAAATTCAAGTGATTCAGAAGTCCAGATCATAATATATTCATGTGTGTTTTAATTTAATCTTTAAGTCATGAAATGTTTTAAGACCAAAAAAATTCTCAAACTAAGTACCAGGAAGATACTGCCGTTATCTATCCTGTAGCTTCCCCCAAACACATGCACATGAGCACACAAGCACACACACCACATTTCTGCAGTACTCCAAGAAGTATGTATAACCCCCAACTAAGACGCCTGGCTAAAGAAAGAAGAGTTACCTTCTTGGACTTTGAGAGCATGACAATTTCTTTTTTTAAGTCACGAACTCATCTGAAAATGGATGAAAGCCAATACTCAAAACATAAAATTGTGCACATTATTTAAGGGGATTCAAAATGCTCTCCCACCCAGTATAGGCTGCCCTCATTAGAAGCACATTTAAAAGCAATCAGTATTTTCTATGTAATTGCTCCCACAACAAAAGGTTAAATACCTCCCCAATCTAAAACACAGTTCTGAACAACTTAGTGGTTGGTGCTATCATTAACTAATGTGATAAAAATGAAGGAAAAGAAAGTCTCACATGTGGAAATCAAGAATACTGTTTTGGCTATGTTAAATTTGTGACGCCAAGCTGACTTTTAAGTGGACAAAACAGGGTCTGAGAATCACTGGCTTTATATAATGGTATTGAAATTCACAGGACTGGAGGAGATCCTCATTCTACCAAGAAGAGGAAGAGGAGCAGCAACCAGCAAAGCAAACTGAGAAGCAGAGGTCTATGCTGGAGGACAGGAGAGTATGGTCTCACAGAAGCCAAGAGAAGAAAGTTTTTCAAGAGGGACACAGTGGCCAAGTACGTCAAATATGGAGGAGAGAATGAGTTTGATGTGGACAGAGAAGTGAGTATGGGATTTAACTGCATGGAAGTCTTGTAATCTGCTACTGAAAAGCACTGTTTCAGCCAATATTGCGGGTGGAAACTTGACTGGAAGTTGACAGACAAGGAAAGGTGAAGAAGACAGAGAATATAGACAATTCTTTCATGTTTTGCTGTAAAGGAGAGCATAAAAATGAGGCCCTGGTATGAATGCCAATGGGAATGATACAGTAAAGAGGGATATTAATGATGGAGGAAGAGGGGGAGAAATTAGAGCCATAGATAGCAAAGTCCCTAAGAAGTCAAGAAGGGATTGAGATCCAAAGTACAAGAGGGAGATTTTGGCTTACACAGAAGTAATGTCTTCATTACTTCATACAATGTTTTCCATTGGAACAAAAGTGAAGACTGAGGGTGTGACTACAAATACAAAGGGGATGGAAGATGTGTTGATGGAAAGATGAGAGAACTCAAGTTGCAACTGCTCCAATGCTCGTAGCGTCACTAAATATGAGGTGAGGTTACCAGCTGAAAATGAGAAGCAGGGGGTGATATCAACTTGAGAAAATAGGAGAATAAAGCAGTTATTTTGAAAAGTGAGGAAGTAAATTTACTAGGGACATGTAGCAGGATGGCCAAACACTGTTGATCTCCTACTTGACGTCTGTGGTTTTGAGTGTAAAGACAGACCAATTAGCACAGGTGTGTATTTTTCTTACCAATTTTTAGCTGCTCAGGTTCAAACAGGAAGTAAATGAATAGCTGGGCTTATCCAGAGTTGGCGTTTTGCCAAGGAGAAAGAGAGAGACAAATGACTGATGAAAATAAATGACCACAGCTAATAAGGGAAATGAGTATGTGAATAGTAATGATGACAGTGAAAAAGTGATAGAGTCACAGAGTCAACGGATGGGTCTTGATAAGGCTGAAGTAATGCTGGAGAGCGGGTGTGATGGGAAAAGGATGAGAGAGTGAGATGCTTATAGTCAAAATACTTGAGGCAGTATAGCTGCTTTCTCTGTTTTGTCCTGGGCCATCTTATCTGACAGTTCTATTCTCTCTCTTAATCTCACGTATCGCACAGTGTTAACATCTTTTCCACGTGTCAACTTCTGAGAATCCTCTATAACTGGACCTAAGTGGCAGAGCTTAGGCTTCAAGAGACAAACCTGGGGCCAACTCCAGCTCTGCCACTTACTGAGCTGTTCGACCCTGGGTAAGCCCTTTAGTTCTGGTGGGCATCAGTTTCCACCTCTGAAAATTGTTTTTTAACCCAGTACACTTTTCATTCAGGTATTGTTTAAGATTTAATAATGTAAAATTGTAAGCACAGAGACTTACACATAGTAATCCCTCAAAAAAAAGGAAAATAAAAAGTAACAATATTAAGTCCATATGCCCAGGTGCCAACTATGTATAAGGATCTTATAGCTGCCTTAACCTTAATATGTCCAAAACCAAAACTTGGCCTCCTCCACTCATTCACTCCTCCTCCTGCACTCCCTCTTGTCTAAGTTAATGGCACTACTACCTCACCACTTGGGCTAGAATATTCAGAGCTGCCTCTGACTCAACCTTTTTACTTACCTTCCCCATCCAATCTGTCACTAAATCCTGGTATCATATATCAAGTCTAAGAAGCCATAGATTTTAAGATGCATCAATATTTATGTACCACTAAGAAAAAAGAAAGAATGAAAAATGCTGCCACTTACAACTGTAAGATGCCATCAGTTGTAAGATACAACCAGATTTCATATGTGTTATAATGCAACCAAAAGTACATCCCAGAATAGTTGAAATATGGCAAACTACTCCTAAATGTTCTTTTACCTACCATCTATCCCTTCTTTTCCATCTTCACCTCAATAATGAGTTCCAGTTCTCATTCTTTTAACCCTGATCTATTGCCATGATCTCCCAAGTTTCTTTCCTTCCAAGTGTTCACTTTTGTTCGCTTTTCATGTTGATGCCAGAGCTACTCCCTAAAATATGGATCAGCAGCTTTCACTGCTCTCCGGCGAGATGGCAATGGCTTTTTCCTCTTCATGGTTTTAAGTACAGCATTTAAATAACAACATAATCTGGTTCTTAAACAGCCACTTCCCTTGATCTGCTATTTCAGTTTTTGACATAACTTACTCTTCAACCACACAGATCTACTTGATGTTCACTGAAAAGAATATGAACAGTAGAGGCTCCCTGTTTATGCTCTCACTTCTTAGCTTGATATGTCCTGCTGGCCTCCAGCTTCCTCAAAATAAAAAGCCTTCCACCTTTTGGAAAATCAAATGCTACTTCGTCTGAAAGGCCTTCACTA